TTTCTGCGCACACGCCTCGAAAGCATGCGAGCTTGATTACATATACCACAGAAAGGATTCTTCGGGAAGTGGAACAACCTGTGCTCAAGCGACATTGCTTGATCTCTAAGCTTCCGAATCCTCTCTGGAACCTTATCCTCTGCTCCATCATCCTGATCAACTTCACCTACACCTTCAGCAGATGCATCAGCGTCAGGCCCTTCGGGTGGCGCATCAGCAGCCGAACCCTCGGGAGCCTCAGCAGCACATGCTGGCAGGGGCTCTTCACAAGAGTCGATTGGGAAGCCCAGAGCACGGAGCTCTTCACAGTGCGAATCTTTGACTTCTGAAGGATGCTTTGCAGAGAACAAAACCACCACAACGCGATCACCTTTCCACGGCATCGTGGCATGGATGCAGCTCTTAGCTCGAAGTCGAAATCGAATGACCCCGTTCTTGAAACTAAGAACCTTTCCAAGCTTGTCAGGATCACCAGGACACGGAGTTGCCCCCCCTGATTCTTCAACCCATAAGCCTCCTCCTGAGAATCCACCCAAGGAGATGACGGCATGATCAAGATTGGCGTTGTGGAAGTCTTTGTGGGGACCCGTTGTAACCTTGCTGAAAATACAAAGGGTCGTGTATCCAAAGCCAGGAAGCTTCGAACATGCAAACTTGTTGAGAGCTTTGGTAACCAAGGGAAACCGGTGGGCAGAAGTCCTAAGTCCAAGAGCTCCACCCAACCGTTAAAGTCCAGTTGAGAACGATTCCCCATGATCACCTCTAGCAGCAGGTTCCTTGTCAACCAGACCAAACAAATTGCGAACCGCACGACAGCTGATGTTGCCGCCAGAGCTCAACATTTGCCGGGCTCGTAGTTCAGCAGGATGGTTCTCTGAGCATTGGATGGCGCTTGGGATAGCAGCCGGACCCTCGCTCTCGAGCCCCCCTGAAAGGTCACTTACAGGGTTTGGTGCCCCATGAGTAAACCTCACCTGACTGGTGAAAATCGGAACATGCTCTTCAACGCGAGTTGCATAATGTCTGTACTTCTCAGGGCATTGAACAACGAGTTGCGAAACGTCGCTGACGAAGAAAGGCAAACTACCGGGCAGCCATATGAAGGCTTTCCCAGAATCAACATCAATCCCTGTGCTTCTGACCAAAGGGCAACTGTCTAACATGTACTGATTTGCAAAATCCATGTTGCCAGACTCGAAACCAAGGGTCTGCACACCAGGTTGGGGACCACCGCCGGTATGAAAAGTCACGGGAGACTTAGACGCACCTAAGAACCGGTCAAAGGCGTCACGCGGAACCCCTTGGTCAAACAAAGCTTTGGCCGAACCTAAGTGACGACCAGCAGCAGTGTCAGCGGCCCATTCAACAGCATAGGACGGACCAGCGGAGATAACAGGAGTGCACAAGCTAGAGGCAGCAACAAGCGCGACAACAGCTTTAGCTACTGCTCCAGGTTTGCTCTTGGCTCCTTCTTTGGCTTTGGCTTTCGACTTCGGTGGAGCAGCTTTGTGACTGAACTTACAATTAGTTATCTCCATGAATGCAACCCGACGGCATCTGGAAGAAAATGCAAGGTGTCTTGGCTTTCTCAGCATCAGTCATGGCCTTCGCCTTAGCCTTAGCCTTTGATTTGGCTTTCGCGTTTGCGTCGGGCGCTGGGGCGCCAGGTGCAATTGGAGGAGGAGGAGGAGGATCTGCCTTGGATGGAGCACCTTGGGGAGGTGCAGCAGGAGGGGTAGCCTTCGGCTTTCCGTTTCCTCCATCAACAGCAGGAACAGCTTTCGTCTTCGGAGCGGGTGTGGCCGACTGTAGAGACTTCAACACAGACTGCGCGTTGGAATCCTCACGGTCCTGCACAATCAGATCCTGAATCTTATCCCACAAGTAAGACCACTCACGCCTATACGAAGTTGCCCCAGATTCCCTGATGTCCTCAATAACGCGCTCAAGCTTGCGAATGTGTTTTACTCGATGGAAGAGCCATTCACCGGTGAGGCGATCATCAGGTCGTTGCCCGACCGGAATTGCACTGAGAACGAGGCGAATGCGATTCACAAAGTCTTTCAAGTCCTTTATGGAACATTCACCAAGCTCGATCTGAAACAATGTTGATGCAGTCAGAACAGAACCTCTTACCCGATCGAGGTCGTAATGCCTTGCGATGATAGACAACATTACTCGCCCTTTGGGTGATTGGCCAAGTTGGCTACATCTTTCAATGTAAGCGGTGATGTCTTGTTCAAGCTCAGATGACTGCTTCAGCACATGCCCTGACGACAGCTCACCAGCTATCCATGCATCAAGACGAGGAAGAAGCTCCGAATCTTGCAAGTCCTTCCAAAGCGATGTGTGACCGTCCCATCACTAGGGATGTCGCTAGCACTCACCGGCCCCTCAATGAAGCCTTTGGCTAACTCCTTCTCCGTGGCTGCTAGCACGCCTTGGTCCACGATCTCGTCCCCAGAACTTTTAACCGAAGCTAAAACCTGACCCCTAACTAAACCCGCACTTTTCCTAAGTGGTTCCTCGGCCATGGCCGCCGCGCGGTACTTATTCTTAAAGGCATTAGATCGGGGCAAGGGTCCGGTTAAGTCGAAACCGTTCGACAGATCGGAAATCAAGTCCTCGTCCTCGTGTCCCACACTGTCAAGCATCTCTTTCATCAAGAGCAGCCTTTTGTTGCACAAGACTTGACGTCGATGGGAGCTCAAGGACTCGTTGAACTGGCTTTCGTCGGCAGTTTCCAGCTCCTCAGCGCGAGCAAGAAATTTCTTGAGCGTCTCAGTTCGCTCGCGCCCAAGTGTAGCGACATCTTTGGAAAGATTTTCTCGTATGGCCTCGACAAGCTCAGATGGCAAAACGCTTTCCACGTGACACGGATGTTGCACGCTCAGCGCTCTCGCCACGAACTCCTCAGGTTCATGGTACACGCCGAAAGTGATACTTCCTTTTTGCACTTTGGCAACCATGGGAGGCACATCACTAAAACCTGAAGAGGGGCTTAAGGGGAAACCCAAATTTTCTAAGAACCCTTTGTCGGCAGTCGCAAGTTTGGTCACTCCCACTGGGGTGTATGCAACGATCACTCCTCTGTCACCACGCCACGGTTGAGTAGCATGCCAACGCTTCGGTTCAAAGATAAAGGGTCTCCCAACATGCCAAGTCGTGAAACCTCCCAGCACGTTGGGTTTTCCCGACGACCATTGCAATGGGTCTACCTGCCTCCTCGAGCCACAGTCCACCGCCAGCACAAGCATGCGTTGCCATGATCAAGTTTTTGTTTCTGGCTCATTGTGCAGATCTCGATGGACTTCTGCGCGCACATTGCACAGGTAGCCCACGGCAGAGAAGCAAAAACCCGGAGCATTATCGCGAACATGCTTGCAAAGCACGGCTGTGCACCAAGGCATATCCCGAGTCAAGTTTTTGCAGCCCGTCATGGGCCCATGAGCATATGCTCCGCACAGAAACTGATTGGACCGGTCATCACAGCTCCCCCGGGCTCTGGTCTGATGTTTTTGCGGCAGCATGTCCAAGAGAGTTCGCATCTCCTCTTGGCTGAAGCGAGTGTTCCACTGCAACATGATGCAGGCAAGCTTCTCAGCAGGGTGAGCATCCTCAGGCGGAGACTGAAGGTTCAAACATGTACGGTGAAGAACCCTGGCCGACAGCGAATTGTCTTGGCCGTCAACCTGGTCTGCACTTAAGTCGTCTGAAGCATCCTCTGAACTTTCCCCCGGCACCGTGAGGATGCGAAGGACTTTGGAACCTGGCGGCACAGACGACACGAAGCACGGGTCAACGTTTGCAGATGCAGGTACCTCCCACGGCGCAGGGAGTTTGCAGCCTACCTGAAGACCATGCATAGACGCAGCAGGGAAGCTGCCACTGACGTTTGCAACATGCTTGAACTCGGGAACCAGAGGAAGGACACGCTTGTTGCTTTGCCATCCAGCCACAGCTCTGGCCGCTGCAACTGTGGCTGTTGTCTGACTCAAGTCAGTAGGCAGAGGCTTGGCCCCCATGTCAAGCAGTTGGTCTTGCAGAAGCTGTGACATAGCCTTGCACGAACCCCAAGGAAAGTCCAAGTCACGGTCGAACTTACAACCCACACCCTTAGACCAAAACTTATGTACATGTCCACCGGCACATGGACGATGCAACTCCAAGAATTTTGGTAGAGAGTGCAGCATGCGCATAGCTTTCTTGAGTGGCGAATCGAAGCTGCAAAGGTGAAAGCGCGTTGTGAAAAGAGGAACTTCCTGAAGCAGAATTCGCAAAGGCTTGGTATATAGCCCACACGAAACTTGACTCTGGATTGCACACGCTAAACAGCACTCCTCGCTCGTGACATGTTTTGCAGGCTGCAGCCACAGCACGCAGGTAAGCATTGGCATCACTCACTCTAGTACGATCGGCCAGCCCCAACCCCGGAACTCCATCAGGATGAGTTTCGTTCCGCAGGATTGCAGGAGCTCCTGCAAATTGACGCAACCTGACACGGCGTGTAGTATTACAGAGCGGATAAAAATGAACATACATCAAATTCTCTTCGGTCAAAATCTCCTGGAACTGTTTGCGACCCGATCCTGTACACAAGTCAACAACAATTCGTGGCGCACAGCACTTGCCGGCTGTTCTGTCAACGGAAGAACTGTTATCAAGCTGTCGCTGCTTGAGGCATGCAGTCAACCGCCCCGACCCCGGCGAGACCTCTAAGACGAGACATTCATCCAAGGAGACCCCTTTTACCCTAGCCATCACTTTTTGAAGATAAGACTTGGGCTCCGGTGCAGTCGAGGCGACTGGCTGTCACTTTCGGTGCTTGGGCAACGGATGCGCCTTGAAGCAGTTTGGCTCGCAACACAGATGCCAGCCACGCGGACACTCCTCACCGTCAGCAGCATTGGGACACCCATCAATGTTGTATGATTGTATGCCCAACACAGCCTCTTTCCTTCGTTGGTTTCGCTGGCTTTGCCGACTAGCTGCTTCGGCATCTAGATGAAATCGGCCCCTTTAACTCCCGGCTGATCCTTGCCTTTGCCCTTGCCTCTGCCCTTGCCATTCTTCTTCCACTTGGTCGGCTCATCAGTCTTTTTGGCATCATCTGTCCACTTCCGCTTGTTATCATCGCTTTCTCCACTCTTCAAATGCAACAAGTGGAAACTGATGCTGGGATCCTGAAGAATGTTCTCAAGGGCTCGGTCCAAGGGTAAAGTCCCATCGGGCTGGCGCTTGATTGAGGGCAGACTCTCAGCGACGCGGGTGAAAGCTGCCCTGTCTGCCCTGAGCACCTGTGCCACTGAAATCTTCACATAAGTAGGAGGTGGCAACTCCTGCAGCCGATGAATCAAGGACGAGTGATACCGATTCATGGTGTCATAACTGGCGCACTTGACTAGATCAAATGCTAATGCTCGCCGCCTCAGAGCCTGCGTAAGCTCGAGTTCGGTCCCCGTTGTGCAAGTTTGATGAGGCACCTTGTCCTTCACCGTCACACTGTTCCCGTCGATGGTAAGCTCCTTCCCGGGCTTCTTGCCCTGAAGTTCAGACTGTCTGGTCGGGAACCTGTCTGGCCCTAGATAAGTCAAGGAATCCGAGGACTGCATGGCGTACACCAAGTCATAAGAGGCATGGCTAGGCTCTTCTACTCCGCGATGCAAAAGGCCCGTGATCCTTGCACGCTGCTCGGTGATGCGCTCTTCCCTCTCGGCTGTGGCGAGCGTCGAAGGTGCTCCAGAGTCCCCCTCTGAACTCGTGTTTTTTTAACTCTTGGACTACGAGGGTATGGGTCTCAAAGATTAGACGCTTTGCTGCAGCCATGGTCCCTGCCGTGATGGGCGCGGCCCCGAAGAGCCGCTGTACCTGATCATCGCTCGGAGACTGGCCCGGCGGCACTGTTGCAAAAGCTAATTTGGAGAGCGTATCCATTCCTGTCCCCGTTATCGTGGCCACATTGGCTTGGATCAAGCCAATCTCTTTCGCCGTTGACGCAGAGGCCGCCGTGGATTCCGTTAGCGAGCCCATGATCCCTCAGCAAGTCTCACAGCACAGCACTACCCGTCAGAAGACATGTCAAATCATGAAGTCACATGTCACGTTCACAAGCCGCTTCTAACATGTGACTCCATCATGTCTCTACTCGTTTAAAAGAGCTCACGCATGCTTGTTCACAAGATGTCTCCACTTGAGCAAAACTTCGAGCAATAACATAGCTCCTCAACACCTCCGCACCTGCAACTGAACTTGACTTCCAGATGAACCTCATCTGCTCTTCAAGCGCACTTCGCTTTTCTTTCGCCCCACGTGGACAAAACTCGATCACTTATCTTTGCATTTCATAATCTGCTGCAGCGCGACGTTCAAGCTGCCCATATCCCTAACCGGCCGGCCCGAATCACATTGCTTGCACTTTCGCAACTCAAGGAACGGTACACCACTGACTTCCACATGATCATTGGTGAGGGCCCTTCCGCATATGAAAAGCCCGTCTGAACTCCCAGCACTCATGAGATGCACAACACCAGTCCTAGAATGTTTGTACATGGTGGCCTCAGGCCTCCAGGTGCTAGGCTTGCTCGCTGGGTGTCGGAAGTCCTCGGCCTTGACCCATTCATCACCGGACTCAGGCTCCGACTCGCTCGAGCTGTCGCTCGATCCACTCTCGCAAACCTGTTCCCCGCAAGTTGCAGAGCATGCTAAAAGAGTGGCAACAGCATCGACCTTCTCGAACGATTCAGTGGTCCTGCCTAAAGATCCCTCTTCATCGGAAGCCGCACACACAGGCATACTCGGCGACGCAGCCTCATCCTCTGACACTTCGACTTTCAATCGGACGATCGGCGAACCGTCCTGATCTGCTCAAGTCAGGCATGAACACCCCTCGCCTGATGCTTCCTAACATATCCGTGTATTTCAAGAGGGCTGGCGTAAGGTTGTCGCGCCCGTAAGCATCTAAGGATCCGTCGCCTGAGCTATGATGTCCGAGGCGCAGGCGGGTATGCCTATCCATTCCAAACTTAGAGCACCAGCTTAAAGAAGTCCCTTTGATGGCATGCGAAGTCGACGACTCAGGCACATCACAGCCGGCCTTGTCAAGTAACGCACGCATCCACTTGGTGACCTCTCCTGAATCGACACATCGTCGAGTCCAGCCCCCCTTTTGATCAGGTGCGGGAAGCACGGGTCCTACTCGGGTGGAACTAAAACCCAAACCGACCTCCTCTGCAACCTTGGCCCATGTCACAGCCCACGCTGAAGATGTAACACCTCGCGCTGGCGCAACCAAAGGCATGCTGAAACCCGTATGAGCCACAGCATTGGCCGTCTTATGGTCTCGCGTCTTGCACTCGATGAACCCTTCGCCTCCACTTGCAAGCTCACTGAAGTCAAGGAACCAACCGAATGTTTTTCTCAAATCTGACACTCGGCTCCGAGAGAAGATCCCAAACAAGATGCCGCAGGCGTAACGATCAAAGCTGTTGACAGATTCATCTTCAAGCAAGCGTTCCAGGGCTGCAACGTATGCCACAAGCAGGACCGTGGCCTGCTTCCGCTCTGCCTTGGTCAGCTGTGCCTGACCGATGACGCCTTTACTCCAATGGCTCCACACAGTGCTTTGCTTCGGTCCTATGACTGACTCGTCGACAGCAATGCCGACCACATGTATGGCAAAATTCACGCACTCCTGGAAACTGGTGAAAGCCCCGGCGGGCCGCTTCTCTCTCTTCAGGTGCTTCAAGTATCCATCCAGACGCGCGGACTTGAAAGGGAAACGGGTCATCGCCCCTGCATTCCTTTCGCCCCCATGAGAGGTATCCCATGAGGGCCGATCCCCTTTTCATGACTGTACTGCCACTCTTTCGCCCAAAGAGTTCACGCAAGGTTTCAATTGCGTCATCAGTCTTCTGGATGGCAACCGTTTCTCCGATATATGACGACCCAGGGCACTCAGTAAGTATGACCAGCCACTTCTCAAGAGCACGTCGCCATTGAGCGTCTTCCTTTTCCTCATTACTGTCGTAGGCCCTCGAAGAAATAGCAACCCTGAAACACTCCCCACTCTCAGGCATCTGCCGTGCGCGTTTTGCCGGTGGCTCGGCAACAAGGTCTCAAGGCTGAATGTTAGAGGTATGTGCTTCGGGAGGCCTGCCAAAAGCTTTGTCACTGAATCATCTTCTCCAAAGACCAAACTCATGCTCTCCTGCTCCCACGGTAGAGGAATGTCCACTACACTCCTACCCAGAGCAAGCACTGAGTCCCCCAAAGCATCATTTAGCAGGCTGCTGTCAGCACAATTGGTCACTTCCCTTGCAGACTCTCGGTCACGCACGCAAGCTTCTCTCTGCTCACTGTCTATCTCCGAAGGCACCAAGGCATCAAGATGTGAAGGCAAGGGCCGCCCTGTCCCTACTTCCTCAAGCTCCTCTCCAAGGCACTCAAGATGTCTATCAAAACTCAATTCACCTTCAGCAGGCAACGGCTTGCCAGTGCACACATCAGACTCTTCAACACCCTCGAAACCTTCGGCTGTGGCTTCCTGACCTTCCCCCTGTAGCTCTGAAGCCACAAGAGAAGAATCAGCGTTCACTTCCATCTGCCTCCCAAGGAGGTGTGCACGGAGCCCTGGAGGCAACGTCGAAAGGAGCCAGGTTGAAAGTCGAACCTGTTGAGCCTCGGGCCCCCGTTCCACAAAACTTTTTTTCCGGACTTATGCCGGAATTTTTTCTTACCCTCCCACCACCCTGTGGAGCCAACTGACGGCATAACAAAGACTTCATTGAGATCCGCGCAACATGAACTGTCATGTCTCATGTTAAGAAAACTTTGACAAAACTCATGCCCTAAATTTTGAGTTTGTTTGACAAACCAAAATTTTTGACACATGGGAAAATAAAGCTTCATCCGCTACTCGCGGAGTTGCGTCTCTTCATCCGCAAGTAGGCTTCGCACTGTATCTGGGTCAGTGTCTGCAGGCTTCCAGTTGCCCTCGCAGACCTCCAGGCCGGAGGAGCTGAGGGGCTGGAGTGTGGCGAGGGGCCAACTGGATCTCATCGAACACCCCTGTGTGGACACCGACGCATAGGTGGGCTGGCAAGTCTTTGTCAGGGTCTTGCAAAAGACCCGCAAAGGCTGGGAGAAGATTAAAGCGGCAAGGCTGTCCATCGGCTGCTTGTGTCATGAGATCATAGTCCCAATCCATGACCTCGCAGGCTATGCGGATAAGCTGGAGTTGGTCTTCCTCCGGGAGAGGGTGGTCAGGCTTGCTTTGTGCAAGGTGTGCGAAGATTTTCTTGGGCAAGTCTCGCTGGGAGGCCCACTGTAACCAGGCTTGCATGATGGCTTGCATATAGCCAAGCCATCACAGCCTACCAACCTCACCGCGGCTCTCAACCAGGATGTCGAGCTTCAAGCCAACCGCGCTCCCATCTGCGACGGGGCTGGCAACGCGAGTTCAGCCGATTGGAGTAGCCCTAAACCGAGCCCTCCCGGAGAGGGATGGCTGCAAACATACCCGCTACCTCCAAGGCGGCCGATTCCGTATCCACGCACGGCCAGGTCGGCAGAGGGGAAGTGCTAAGGATAATCCTGTCGGAGGCGGGCTCTGGGCACAGAAAGAGTCCCCCGTCGTGCACGGCTTCACAGAAAGCTGCCGTCTGAAAGAGGAAATGATCCGAATCCAGGAGGAGCAAGGCTGCTACCCCCGAGGAGCGAATGGCTTGCAAGAAGCTGCATGCCTCTTCCACGTGGGGGGCGATGGCCCCTAGGTCAGTGACAAGGCCTAGCACCGCGCGTGACCACATGGCTTGCAGCAGCAGCGAGGCCCGCTGTGCCTTGGCGAAGCGGCGGCCTTGCCCTCCCGGTTTGCTGCGTGGGCCCGGCGCTGAAGGTCTGTTTGCCGCACTGTCGGCGGGCATGGCGTCCACCTGGGGTGGCAAGGTTTCGGCAGGCGGAGGAGAAGTAGGCTGTGAGCGCTTGCGCTGCCGGGGCAGTGGTTCTGGGCTCTGCTTGGACCCTAGTCGATCAGGAGGGCTTCTTGTCATGGTCTACTGCACAGTGTTCCTTACCGCAGCCGCGCACAGCGCACAGGTGCGCGAATTTGCAACTAGGCAAGGCACATAGGTTCCGCTGGTAGCGCTTGTATAGGACTTTGCCTTTGGCTTTAAGGACCCAGTTGGCCGGCCAGGCCTCGGACTTGGAAAGGCTGTCAGATTGCTTAATGTGGGTGTCGGTTTAGGAATATAGGCTCCTTGAATGCGTCCCGGCCGGTGCTAATTCCGAATCCGAATAAAAATTTTTGGGGTACTAATTAATGCGTTTTTTCCGATGGTCAATCTTTAGGCAGCCACGACCTGAAGCCCCCACCCAAACGCTAAAATCCTAGCCCTGAAGACCTAAACTAGGCACGCTTAAGCCTAACACCTGAAGCCCCCACCCAAACCCTAAAACCCTGGCCCTGAAGACCTAAACTAAGCATACTTAAGCCTAAAACCCAAACCCTCGACCCCCTCCCTGAACTGAAACCCAACCCTAAAACACTCTCTAAACTCCTGAAGCTTTTTCTAGGCTTACTAAGGGGATTAGGAGGGCTTTCCCAAGGTTACAGGATAGGAATCTCAAGGTTTTCGATGCTTTCTAAGGGGTTCGGCAGGGCTGCAGGGCTTTCCTTAGGTTCAGGACAGGAATCTCAAGGTTTTCTAGGCTTACTAAGGGGATTAGGAGGGCTTTCCTATGGTTACAGGACAGGAATTTCAAGATTTTCGATGCTTTCTAAGGGGTTCGGCAGGGCTTTCCTAAGGTTCAGGACAGGAATCTCAAGGTTTTCTAGGCTTACTAAGGGGATTAGGAGGGCTTTCCTAAGGTTACAGGATAGGAATCTCAAGGTTTTGTAGGCTTACTAAGGGGCTAAGAAGGGCTTTCCTTGCTTGCTGAGGGGTTAAGAAGGCTTTCCTAAGGTTTTCCAGGCTTACTAATTAAGGGGTTAAGAAGGGTTTTCCTAGGAATCTCAAGGTTTTCGAAGCTTTCTAAGGGGTTCGGCAAGGCTTTCCTAAGGTTCAGGACAGGAATCTCAAGGTTTTCTAGGCTTACTAAGGGGATTAGGAGGGCTTTCCTAAGGTTACAGGACAGGAATTTCAAGGTTTTCGAGGCTTTCTACGGGGTTCGGCAGGGCTTTCCTAAGGTTCAGGACAGGAATCTCAAGGTTTTCTAGGCTTTCTAAAGGGTTTGAGGCTTACTAAGGGGTGAGGGAGGCTCGGGTTCTAGGTAGGGTTTACCTAAGGTTTGGGTCTTGGCGCTGAGAACTCCAACCTTTTTCTGAGGCACGGCAGGCTCAGGTCGAAGGTCGAACCTGAGCAGAATGGTGCTCTTAGTCTTTCTGTGCAGGTCTCAGGACATTCTGAGGATTCCCTGCGAGAGTGAATCAAAACTTCAGCTTGATGGACCCTGAGGTAGGGTGATCTAGGTTAATCAGTGGCTCTTTGACTACTTAGGGGCATTTAGTGACTTAGTTAACCACCTAATTAGGAAACCACTAAACTAATTAAGGACACTAAACCCGAGCTTTAAGCCCCAACCTTAAAAGGAAGCCCTCAGGCGCAAGTGCTGAGGATCCAAAAGCAGGAAGCTCAGGCTTCCTTAGGGTCCGCCTTGGCACCCTTCTTGGGAGCAGCCTTCGGCTCAGGCTTAGCCTCCTCAGTCGGCTCAGCTGCCTCAGTCGCAGTTCCTGGCCGGGGGCAGGAGCTCTTAGGCTTAGGCTAGAAACTTAAGGAAAACTGCAGACCCCAAGCCAGCCTGAAGCCTCGGCTGAGGGCTTCTTCTTCTTCTTCTCAGGCTTGCCTGGCAGGTTTAGGGGTTTAAGTTTAGGGTTTCATTAGGGCTTAGGGCCCAAGCCAGCCTGAAGAGCTGCTTGCAGCCTCTGAGAGTGTTTCCTCAGGGATGACCTTCATCGTCTTGGGAGCATCCTTAGGCTTCTCCTCAGCTCCTGCAAAGAAACTCAGGCTGGTTTGCTTCCTCTAGGAACTTGACTCAGACGAGAGAAGGAGACTGAAGGCATATCATATATTTAATTATTGAGGTTTGTAAGTATAATTAATTAATTACTGAGGGCATATAATCAATTCGTAATAAGTAACTAATTAATTAATGAACTAATTAACTAGGTGATTAAATATAATTAATTAATCAATTAATCAATTAATTAATTAATTAATTACAAGGCATAATTATGCATAATCAACTCCTCAGGGTCGGTGGTCTAATTAATGCATTTTTCCCCACATCACTGTGCGGGGTTCTTACTTTTTGGGGCTGTCCCGCCTCCTCCTTCCTCCTCCTCCTCTCCGCCTCCTCCTCCTGACTTCATGATGCACACACACACACACACGCGCACACACACACACACACACACGCGCACACACACACACACACACACACACACACACACACACACACACACACACACACACACACACACACACACACACACACACACACACACACACACACACACACACACACACACACACACACACACACACACACACACACACACACACACACACACACACACACACACACACACACACACACACACACACACACACACACACACACACACACACACACACACACACCCACACACACCCACACACACACACACACACACACACACACCCCACACACACACACACACACACACACACACACCCACCCACCACACCACACCACACACACACACCCACAACACACCCACACACCACACACACACACACACACACCCCCACACGCACACACGCCCACACGCCCACACGCCCACACGCCCACACGCCCACACACGCCACACGCCCACACGCCCACACGCCCACACACGCCCACACGCCCACACGCCCACACGCCCACCGCCCACACGCCCACACGCCCACAGCCACACGCCACACGCACCCACGCACACCCGCGCCACGCCACACGCGCACACGCGCACACGCACCCACGCACCCACGCACCCACGCACCCACGCACCCACGCACCCACGCACCCACGCACCCACGCACCCACGCACCCACGCACCCACGCACCCACGCACCCACGCACCCACGCACCCACGCACCCACGCACCCACGCACCCACGCACCCACCCACACACCCACACACCCACACACCCACACACCCACACACCCACACACCCACACACCCACACACCCACACACCCACACACCCACACACCCACACACCCACACACCCACACACCCACACACACACACACAACGAAACAAAACAAAACGAAAAGACTGCTTAAAGACGAGGGTCATGCACTGCGACTTTTACAAGAGAATTAGACTAAACATAGTTTAAGCATGGTCATGTATGCATTTCAAGCGGACTTCAAGACATCGAGATTTCAAGCTGATTGCGCTGGTCCTCTTGATCAGCATGTGCTTTCCGGATTCAAGACATTGCTTTCCAGTCTGTTGATGTTTGAGGTCTCTTAGGAACCTAGCCAAGGATCGCGCGTCCCACTCGGGGCACTGTTTCAAGGGATACTGCCTCGAGAGCAGCGGTAATGGCGCCGTGACGGATAAGGCCATGCCCAATTCACACTTGAACACCCAGTCTTGCTGGTTGCATGTTCACTCATGGTCAATTCCGACTCATCAGCGAGTTCAATGACTCCGATGAGAAAACTTCAAAGAAAGCGTTGCCGGTGGGGCTTCAATAGGCTCTGGTTTCCTTGCTGATGTTTTACTAAAGAAGAAAAAGCCAAGGATCCTGAAGCATTGCACAGCGAGTATGTCAAGGATGTAGCATTGCACAGCTTATATTGCAAATGATGTCACAAACACACTGGCAGGTACGTGGATTGAGCGTCCTCAATCCATTTCACGACAAACTGGAAAGGTCTTCGTTGGACAGTGCCTTCCAGAATGTCCACTGTCCCCCTGCACGATCACTTCTCTTAGTCTCAACCTGCAATTCTCACTTGCACTGTCCCGTAGTAGTTTGGGTTCCCCACACACACTGACCTCCATTGGAGGGGCTGCGGACTCTTCTTTTTCATCTCTGCTGCCGTACTTCTTGGTCTGAAATTGTGCGCACGAAGAGCACAGGCTTCAGGGTTGCCATGGATGTAACCGGGTCCCAGTCATGTAGTCGTCGACGGTTTTGCTCGAAAAAGAACGCTGCAATCTCTGGTACTCTGCCGGTGATCCCTTTGATGCGGTAGGAAAAGATTTTCCGTGCTTGCAGTATGTTATCTCCAAGACAAAGCACCACGTGTAGAAACATATGTTTTTCTCTGGAGATTCGGTCAGGTGGAATTTCCACTGTCATTCGAAAGCATTGAACCCGCGTAGAGTACCATGGAAGTCCAGCTTCTCCAGCTTTCCGCTTTGGCATGGCTGGCGTTACTACTAAGAAGCCTTAACTAACGGAAACAAAACGCAGAAAGGAAAGAAAAGAAAAGAAAAGTGATCGCTCATGCATGCCGAATAAGTGACTGAGTGCTGCTTGTTGCTCGCTCGTCTTTTTCTCGAACTCTGATCTGCTGCACATTTTAGTCGGTGTCATGAATCCAACATAGGTGTCGTCCCTGTCGCTGATGATGTTCTTCGGAACTTTGTGAAAGCGATGTGTGGGAGCAGTACATGATGGCTAGCTCGGGGTTGCTGCGATGTTCTACCTCGCATTGTTGACAATTGCATGTGCAGTTGACGCCACCGAACATGTACCGTGACTCTCGCGCCACTTTCCTGATGACAAACTCCGCGAGCTCTAACAATTGCACCATGCTGAGTTGATTGACGATGCTGTACAAGGTCTCGAGCTGCGAAGGTCCTGCTTGGCGTGGTCCTTCCTCTAGGCGTTCTCCATCCCATGTGCGTCTCCCCCGGCGCATTTGTCGAGGTAGCGGCTGCATGGTGGGTCAAAAACTCTTGCTTGAGATAAGTGGCTTACTACGCTCAAGGAATCAACACAAAATTGCCAGGGCACTGTGCAACCCTTAGTTGTAACCGCACAAAACGCAAACTTTTCTGGCTCACTTGGTTTAGCAGCATGCGTCTGCTTCTTTAGTCCGTGTGGAACCAACAAAGATGCCGTCCATGCCATATGTGATTTTCTTCCGAACTCCGCGAGTATGATGTGTGAACACATGTTTGAACGACGTAGCTGGGGTTGCAATAGCTGGCGGCTTCGCATTGTTGGCATGGAATGCAGCACCGAACTCCACCAAACATGAATCTGGTTGCGTTCCTCAATCTGCGCGCCACATACTCTGCCAGCTCCAGCAGCTGTGAAATGCTGAGCTGGTTGACCACCTGGTACATATTGTTGAGCTGGGCTGTCGGCACATCCGCGTGGTGTTCGGCTTCGTCTGAGTAGCGCGCATCACGGTCACGGAGCATTGCCGCTGTCACTGATCAAATAGCGGTAGTTGGAGGGCTTTACGAGCTTGAGACACGGCAATCCAAAACAGTTAATGCGCAATCCTAACCGTTTTAGGGACAAGGGACCGCCTAAAATCGCAAAGTGTTGTGGAGACTTCTCTGTTTTTTGCATTCTCGTCCTGCTTCTGGCACCGAATTGTGTTCACAGCGTTGTGCTGAATCTAATTATGTGAGGTTGAAGCCAAGCATGCGAAGGTAGCGTTTGTCTTCTCTGCAAATGTCCTCGATGCGGTTGGTGGTGTAGGCCGAGATGATCAGGCGGTCGGATTTCCATGGGCACGTGCCATGGAGCTTGAATGGACTGAACTCGATTCCGGGCAGTTTGACTTCAAGGTTGCGACCGTGATGTTGTCCATTTGGGGATAGGTCAGGTCCGTCGTCTTCTTCAACCCATAGGTGTCCTTGTCTGAAAGTCGAGACCGGAATCACGATGTTGAGGCTTCCTGGCTTGTTGTACTTGTCTCGGTGCGTACGCATGTGCACGTTGCGAAGTAAGGATACAGTCGAGAATGTAGTATGGGTGCATGCTCGTACCAGGTATGCCATTAGCGCTGCCGTCCACGGTCTTTGCCTCGTGTTTGTGCGTACTCCGGTGCTGCCGGCGTGGTAGTAGGCGCCGACTGTATATGACGTTGTTCTTCTGCCTGCTTTTGTAAGTGCCGAAGCTCGGAGGAATTCGGAGTTGAGCTGGGCGGATAGCCTTGGGAAGAGCTCGAAGGGAATGTATCTTTGTTGGAGGAGTAGTTGGCACTCTTGCTCTACTGGATCGTCTTTTGCTGTTGAACTTTCGGGTGCACTCATGTCCAGCGGTAGTCCATGTGGTAGTCTGACGACATATTCTGCGGCCTCGGAATCGGTGTCGATGTCGGTGAGCTCTGCGGCGCTTGCAGCTCCATTGATGCGTTGCTTTTTGGTCATTTTAACCCTAAATCCTACCAACGTAAGGCTTGAACCAAAAAACTGAAGAAAAGTGTTACAGCGCTGAAAGGGCTGAAAGAAACGAAGCAGAGGGGCTAAGACGTTGCACCTGCTAATGCCTGCAAGTCTCTGGCTCTGTTGAATTTTCAGAAGGCGCGCATATCCCAAGTCACCGTAGAGGTCGTCCAGTTCTTGGAGTTGTCTCTGGGCTACATCTTCCGGGTAGGCACTGGTGCGGATGAGATGCTTTCTGCTGTGATACCCGCTGAGGCGTAACTTTGTAGTTCCGGCTGACTGGGGGAGTCTGTATCTCCAAGGCTCTCGGTGAAGATTGTACGTGATTTTGCGATTGTCTGCGTGAATGCGAAATCCCAGAAAATCGTCACACGCTTCGTCTTCAAGTTGTACTGGCTTCTTGTAGAATTGCAGGGATGCAAGCTGCTGGATGAAGGGGTTGTGCTGAAGTTCATCTTCATCGACTATGATGGCTCTGTTGTCGACGTACCTGCGGATCCAGAACTTGTCGTGGAGGTGGGCGCTGCTGACAAATTGACCATACATCCGTAGCCATGTGATTTCTGTGGCCACGATTGCGCACGTGGAGAGGATGGGGCTGATTTGGTTTCCCATCGAAGTGCCGCATGTCTGCTGGAAGACCTCCCCAATGGCTGTGAAAGCACACGCGTCGAAGCTGAACTGGATGATGGCTGGTATGTGTTCTGCCTGCACCTTGACCATGTTGGACTTCAGGCTGTATGTTGAGCGGCCTGAATGCGCTGGTGCGATCTTGTTGTGCGGATCGACGGTGATGGTGGCGTTGTGCTCGTCAAGGAACTGAGATGTGAGGAATTGGATGCTTTGTAGGATGTCGGATTGTGGTATCGAATTAAAGAAGCCGACCAGATCGTGGTTGAGAAATTTCAAGTGCCTCTCCGGGTACAGGTGCTCGTTGTTGTAGAAAAGTTGGTGTATTTCCTCCCATAGTTGTGGCGAGCTGACGTCACCAAAATGGTTAGGCCAGGTTATCCTCAACATCTGTTGTAATGCTAGCGCCGCGATCTTCAGCAGTTTGCCGATGCACGTGTTGCTATACGCGATAATAGTCCTCCCTTTTGCCCACCTCTTTTTCCGTCTCATGAGGATATATCCATACGGAAGGGGCTTTTCGTAGGCGAGGAGCTTGGTGTAGTGCTTGGCGACGATCTTGGGGGTGTTGTTTTGCATGGCTTGCTTGATCTCGGCAGGGTCGGCATCTAACATTCTGAATGTTTGTTTGTCCATCCAAGTGTTGTAGGCTGCTTGGTTGTAGATGTTCGGGCAGTAGATCATGAGGTGCGCGTTGGCGTGGTCCTCGTTGTGCACAATGTAATCGTCAGGGATCATGCCCAATATGTTCTTTGCTAATCTGTGCGTGAGTCGTGGCTCTCGTTGAAGCTGTAGTCTGTGTTGCTTCCACTCCTGCTCGAAGAAGTCGTCAAAGTCGTCGAGTATGCGTTGATCTCGAGGAAATTGGTGGTGCTTGAGCCATCGCTGGAATTGTTCTTGGTGCTGCTTCTTGATACGCTTCTTGGAGGAGTAGAAAGCGTTCCCGGCCCCAATGTTCTGAAAAATCTGGTTTGTGCTGTGTAGTTGTAAGGTTTCCAAGCCCGTGACCACATGTCCTTCATGTACTTGTGCTCGCGGGTGTTGCTTGATGAATTGGGCGCACTGACATTCTGTAGGCTTCCAGTGTCTGCCCATATCGGTGACTTTCCGCTTGTGGTTCCAAAGAGCTCGCTCGAGAGAGGGGTGCGTTGCCTCCTGGACCGTCTTGGTTGGTAGATGGTACGGTATAAGCACATGTCTGTGTGTCCTGCTGAGTCGCACCAGGTACTTTTCGAGGTTGGTGCGGTGCGACGCATGTGCAAGTAGAGGGACTTTCAGGGGCTTGTTGTGCTTTGGGATCGATGCGTTCTTGAACTGCAGGACTTTGCGTAGTCTGGCTCGTGCTTTTGATCTCCATGGCTGCTCCATGTGGTTGGCGAGTCTGTAGAGCAAGGTAACTGTTTCGGAGTCATGTTTGCCACTGCGTAGCTCCTTGGAGGCCTCAAATTCTTGCTTGGTGTCGCTTGATATGGCGTACAAGAGCTTCCAGAATTGCGCCTGCTTGGGGAGCGCATTGACAAGCGAGGATCTCTGTCCTTGTACTCTTCGTCGGAGTTTTTTGAAAAGTTGTCGTCCCAGAGAATCTGGTGGGTGGCGAAGATGTGGTTGTTGATGTTTAGGGCCTAGGGACCAAGCCATGCGCCTTCTTGACCAGCTCCTTCGTGACATACGGGTAGTTCAGCTTGGGCTGCCATCTCTGAATCAGGCTGTGTTCTTCGGCCCAGGCGTCAATATACTCCGAGTGCTGCGAAAGGAGGATGGTGCTGTAGTGCTGGTAGGTCTGGGAATCGTTCCAATAACGAATGGCGATCTCGGTTTTGGGAAGTTTGAGTTGTTGTAGTTGACGAAGTTTTGCGACTCTGTTGTACTCTCTCTTGGCCACCGTGATGTTGGTGGATCCGATGTAGCAAAATGATGCGTCTCTGGTAGCAGTCGCATAGGTTTGCTTGTTGAGCCTGGGGAATACAAGTTTGACGTACACTGCACAGGGCTGAGAGAATTTCTCGAACGTGTAGAGTTCTGGAACCGCACCTTTTTCTCGGAGTCGCTCTTTTAGTTGCTCTGCTGCAGGCGATTGCCGCATTCGCTCTTTTAGTTGCTCTGCTGCAGGCGATTGCCGCATTCTATGAAAAGTGAATACAAGATGAATAAGTCCAACTAACCACATCAAAACTTCTTTATTAATAGCAGGAACATGAAAAAGCAAAAACTGCCCCCAATCTACTATCTGTTGCAGCTGCTGGAAGATGTTGGCACTTTCTTGATGTGCTAGGGGTCCTCTCAGGATTTTCTGCACATGTCAAACGGCGAGGTAGGTGACGGCGGCGATCAGCTGCTGAAGGTTTTTGGGTGAAGCCTTTGGCGCTGTAGTGAGGGACATGGGAAGTCCCCATCTCGTAGCCATCTCCTGTAGCTCGGCCTTGGTGTATTTGGCGCCTTCGAGGATGGTCTGCACGGACTGTATGTGATTATCCACTTCCGCATGCTTTTCTCGGGGGAGGCTCTTCTTGAGGTTAGTGATCCAAGTTGCAATTGATGTCATACTTGTCGGAGGTTCTTGTCCACTGGCACGGATCACGTTGTGGGGCTCGGCGAGGATATCCTCGTTGCGCTGCTTGATGGCTCCCTTTGTGAGGCGTCTGCGCTTTGGTGGTGCCGCCGTTGCTTCTGGGCCTTCATTTGGCTCATTTTGCAGTGGGAGGGACTTCTGGGGGGTGACGTCGATGCCGGCACTGCGTAGGCGTTGTTTGTACTTGGCGGTCTGCTCCTCCAAGGCTTGCATGCGCTGAGCTGCTTGGTTGTCGCCCTCGGTGTTCTTGGCGCCGTAGTTGCGTACCTGTGCCCAAGGTTTTATGGCATCCATGATGGTGTCGACGAGGGGCGCAACAAAGGTGATGGCCTCTTTCACCTTGTCAGGGGCTTTTTGTCCTTTGCTTTGGTGGATGGCGTCGATGGTGGCATCCACGTCGATGTTGCTCTCGCGGAGCTTCTTCTGGAGCTGGGAGAGGAGGACGCTCTCGGCGATGTTGCGGGTCAAAATCATGCCGGTGAACTTGCCGTGGGAAAGTCCTCGAAGTCCAAATTCCTCCATGCCATGCCTGCAAAGATGCGCAACGGTGACATCGCGGACGTCCATGCCTGCAAGTCCTTTGGCACGGCTCCAAGCTGTTGGCTCTATTGTCCTCTTCAAGGTTGCTTTGAATACAAGGTTCGTATCATAGTGGTCAGGGTCCTCTGAAAACTGACTCGGAAGTGGCACCCGTGCCGTGGTTGCCGATGTCGTCGGTGTGCTTGTTGCATTGGCTGGCTCCGGCTGTGTATTGCACGGTGGCGGCGGCGGTGGCAAAGGTTGTGTAGCCGGGCTGGAGGCGGGCGGAGGCATAGGTGGCCACGACGGTAAAGATGTTGACGCTGGCAAGGGTGCCGGAGTCGGTGTGCTCGACGCGCTCCCGCTGCCTGACGTCCACCACGGCATATTCGATGCTCCCTGAGACCAATAGCCGGTCCATGCATTTGCCATTGCGTATGAGGGTATCTAACAATTGGGGCACCGTCTGAACACTCAAGGCAAAGGAATTAAAGGAAAAAGTTAAGGCACAACAACAATCCAAAAATCTTGCGGCATCATAAGAATCAGCGGAGTTCATGTGTGTCTTTTGCTGCGAAGAATGCGGTTTGCGGCGTCGCAGTCATTGCCGGCACGAAGTCATTAGAAGATTTGCAGTACTTTGCCGAAGGGGTTGTCCAGGAGGAGCTTTCGTGGTGCTGCCGTGGATGCTCTGTTAGATGAGCGAAAGTCTGGCTCTTCCTTGGGGAGTAATGCCTGCAGCTTTCTGGTACTGCGAGATGAGCGTATTGGCTGTTGAAGGCGGTGTCATCAGCTGCTCGAACGCAATGCATGTAAAGCAATATCTGTTGCGAGATACGCAATAAGCTTTTGCATTCGCATCCTTGAGCACCTCGTCCTCTTCAGTGGCTGCCCGAGCTGTTTCATAGGATCCGCCAAGATGTTTGCGTAGGGATCCCCATGCACGGCCTCCCACGACGATGCCTGCCAGGTTCTTGGCGCTTCGTGTGGTGTTGAAGATCACCCTGGTCAGGTTGTGCTCGTCGATGTCTGATCCGGACATCTCGTGGCCAAGGGCATAGAAGATGTTGCATCCAAAAGCTGCCACTCCATGCGCGTTCATCGGACGCATATTTCGCTCTTTCAACATGTTGAATAAGGCTCCCACATCTGTTGCATGCGACCAGAACAGGATCTTTTCTTGCCGAGTTGGTAGAGGAGGATTTTGCAGGGTGAGGTCTGAAGATTGCAAGAAATAGAATCTTCTCATTGTCTCTGGAGTTGGGTCGCCTCCTCTGTCCCACGTGAGGTCATGCTCCAAGAGAACTCCCTGGTCGATCCTGAACTCCGCTGCAGCGCAAAGTGCATCCACGTACTGCTTGGTGGAGTCGTGTATGGGAAACTGTGGAATCTCAATGTCCTTCCAGTTGACCTTGAACTGCTTGAGGTTCTTGTGGAATGTAATGGTTGAAGGCATCCGCGGAGTTTCATACAGCTTGAGGTCGATCTTGGGTCGTTGCGACTGTGTCTTTGGTGCTGTCGAAGTACCTGTGTTGCTGAGGCCCGATGCCCTGGATCTCTGCATTGTCCTGGGGGAATGAGATCTGGATGTTGTCCTGGGAGCGTACGATCTGGATGTTGTCCTGGGAGCGTGAGATCTGGATCTTGTCATGGGAGTGCGCGATCTGGATCTTAATATCGCCCGCGGTCTGGTAGTCCTTGAGTCGCTGGGGCTCCTTCGTGAGGGATTGCGTCGTGGAGATCTGGAGTCCATGGCTCTCTTTTTCACCAGCAGGGGTCTGGCGGGTCTTGCGCTTGCCGTTGTTTGTAATGGTACTGGTGGTAGCGCGGGCAATCCCGACGAAGATGACGGTCTTGGCATAGGCGGGGCTTCTCCTGCTCCAAGTTGGTCGCTTCGTTGAAAGTAGGGACGGGGGGACATAGTGCGTCCCTCATGCTTGCGGAACGCCGAGAATGGTTGAGCTTTTCGCTTTGCCTTTGCACCAGATCCAACTGCACTCTGCTCGGTATCCTCGGCTGTGGAGTCTTGCGTTGTTCCGTGTGGGTTCGCCGCCTGCAGTGCCTGGAGCTCCTGTTGACT